TGAGTTTTATAAAATGACCAGTGAGGCAAAAAATAATTTTTTAAACGCATATTATTTCAAGGCAGTATGTGAGAGAATACTGACTGATTGTATTGTTACTGAAATGTATGAAATATTTGCAGATGTGTGCGGTTGCTGCGAAAGGAGTTTAAATTGTTTAAATATGTAGAAGCCTAACTATTTGAAAAAAACAAAAACAAACCCAATACGTAGTTTCTAAACTCAGAGATATAATATACAATTACCATTTTCCTATCTTTCTCACACTTCTTGAAAATCATTTATAAAGAAAACATTTGAGGGGCACCTGGGTGGCTCAGTCGTTTAAGCATCTGACTCAATTTAGGCTCCAGTCTTGATCTCAAGGTCATGAATTCCGGCCCTGCATTAGGCTCCATGTTAGGTTTTGCATTGGGTTCTGCACTGGGTGTGGATCCTACTTAAAACAAAACAAAACTAAACTAAAAATATGTGCTCAACCACGAGGTTGATCATTGTGAAACTTCCCCAGAAACTTCCTCCAGAAAGGAAAACATAAGTTATGTCAAAAGGATGAAGAATCAGAGAATCGGAATGGCTTTGGACCTCTCAACAATAATCGAGGAAGCCAGAGCACGATGAAGCAGTGCCTTGAAAATTCTGAGGAAGACTTTCTGCCTGGAATTCCAGACTCAGCCAAACCACCAATCAAGTGTGAGGGCAAAATAAAGATATTTTCCGACTTGCAAGTTCTCAAAAAAAAAAAAAAAAAAAGTCCTCTCATGTACTTTTTCAGAAGACAGTGCTCTGAAATTAAAACCGGTAAGGAAGTACACCAAGAAAGAGGAGGATATAGAATTCAAAAAGCAGGTAATACTAGGCAAGAGAGAGGGGAGAGGAGGCCCAGGGTGAGGGTATAGGGAGGTCTTTGGTCCCAGAGGCGCTGCAGGCCTACTGAGAGCACACCTGCACTCAGAGTGACTCCGGAAGAGTTAACCTCTGAGAAGAAAGACTTCATGGCATTCCATGTGTTTGGCTCGCTTGAAAGGGGACTTACACAACTGGGAGAAGAGCTCGGAGATAAAGAATTTTTAAGTATGTAGAAAACTGAGAAGCTGAACCACATGGCTGCAGGAAAACAGGTTTGCAAACAGCAGCAACAACAAAATGGAGACTAATCATAGGCTACATCAGGACTCAGCTGTGAATAGTCATAATTGTGTTGACATTGATGATTGGTCACACAGAAATTGTGACACAACAGTGTTGGGGCAGAAGAAAGTATGCATGCATGTTGGTAGGGATTAGGCAAGAAGAATGTAAACCCTCTTCATTTTGGTGGCAACTCAGTGGAGAATGCTTAGCCTGGAAGAGAAACTAGACATCAGGAAAGAAGCCTGGAGGAGGTAATTACTGAATGCAGTAGCTCAAATAATGGAAATCGGTTGATTCTCACTACAAAATGGAAGAGGGCAGGCAGGGGACTGTTGTGTGTTTGGAATAAGCCTTGCAGAACTGTTGACTCTTTAAATTCTGTGCATGTTTAAAAGTTAAACTTTAGGGGCACCTGGGTGGCTGAGTTGGTTAAGCATCTGCCTTTGGCTTAGGTCATGATCTCAGGGTCTTGGGATCGAGCCCCACATCAGGATCCCTGCTCAGTGGGGAGTCTGCTTCTCCCTCTCCCTCCACCCCGCCACCCCACTGTGCTCTGTCTCTCTCTGTCTCTGAAATAAATAAAATCTTAAATAAAATAATAAAAAGTTAAACTTTAAAAGGGGAAAATTCAAATGAGAAAAAAAAAACAAACATGATGAGTTACACTTCCTATTACACAGGAGCTCAAAAAAGAATATGCCCAAATTAATATAAAACAAGGAATTCACCTCAAGTATAATTCCCTGAGACAGATCATTAGAAGGAGAAAGTCATGAATTTCTATATTCCTCCCCCTTTTTCTTTCCATCCACTGTCATACCCGGCCAGATAATTGTGTTTATCCACTCTAATCCAGAGGTTATAGGAGACCTCATCTTGGGGTTGACTTCTGCCTGAAAAGGAGGACTGGATAGTGGAGGCTAAGTTTGAGCCTCATCATCTGACCTAGGCTCTTTTGTCTTTCTTTCCTTCTTTTTTTTTTTTTTAATTTATTTTAGAGAGAGGGAGAAAGAAAGAGAGGGGCAGGGAGAGGGCAAAGGGAGAGAGAGAAAATCCCAAGCAGACCCCCCACTGAGCATGGACCCCCCCCCCCAATGCAGGGCTCGGTTTCCTGACCCTGAGACTATAACCCTCAACTGACTGAGCCACCCAGGTACCCCTGACCTAGGCTCTCTATCATCTGTCCATCTGTGTGTCTGGCTTCCCTCTACTTCTCGTCTGATTCTTAGAACATCTTACGTCCAGCCATCTTATATCCCCCTCTTCTGTTGGCGTCCTGGTCCAAGCCCATCTGTCTCTCCACTTGGCTCTGACTCATTCCTTACCCTGACCTTATTGTCTACATCCTCTGCCCTATCCCATTCCTCAGCCTAATTCTTAATTCCTGGCTCCCACTTCTTCATGAAAACTTGGCTCAATCCACTTTGAAAAACCAAGGCGAATGGGACTGCCTGGGAAGAATTTGGAGAATCTGCTGCTCTGTTCTTTCTTCATTCTTGAGAGCCAGGATAACAGCTGAGGGCACATGTGAGGAGAAGCATGTGTGTGCATTTTTGGGAGAAGAGGGTACAGCCATCCTGGACCCCCTCATCCTCCCTGGGAATACTAACATGTATATTTTTGATATCTTGGTGCATTCTTTCTTTTATTTTTTCTTCTGCTTCTCTCGGAAACTGTTCTAAAATTTTAAACCCAGAGGCATCTTTCCAGCTCCCTTGCGTGAGCTGTATTTTGATCTCTTAAGAGGCTGTGACAAGACTCCAGGCCATGGTGATTTTACATGAAGTGACATCTGATTCGCTTCTAGACTGCATTCCATACCAATCAGCCCAGCCCTGCAGTTTGTGGGCTAACTCCTATTGTCTCTCAACATATGGAGCGCTATTAGATAGTGTGAGTTTGAGTCTTGTCAGGGAGGCTGATTAAGCCACAGTCAGGGACAGTCGTCCTAAGTGTGAAATGTAACAGGCCCTCTGAAACAGCACTGTGAGCCTCTGGAGGTGGTTGGTGCCTCTCTGTTGGGGCATCGGGAGCTCGCTAACAAAGCAAACACATTTTTTTTTCTTAGCATGGGCTTAGGTCTATGGCAGTAACATTTGGCAAGTTGAGTAACAGGGAACTCAGATAACTGTGAACAGATGGACAACTATTAAAAGATTTGAGGGGCTTTTATCATCTCTCAAATGGCCTTCACCCACCTACAGGATACCCAGTTCCCTTGCAAGATTACGTAAAGGATTCAATTAAATTTCTTCTTCCCTTTTTTTTTTTCTCAATTGCAGTAGAAGCAAAAGCTCTGACGTTAAGAGGAAAAGAATAGATGAGAAACTTCTAATTTTGAATCCTCTTGGGATTAGATGCTGATTTCAGCCGTGCAGAGAATACTGCCCCATATTTTGAAAGAGTAGCTGCTGGCAGTTTTGGAGGAGATGACTTTCCAAAATAGACAGTGAACTCCTCCATCCGTATCTGATGACCATCTGACATTTGGATGCAGAATTACAGAGTGAGAGAATTATCCATGTGTTTTGATAAGTATAACCTTGCTTTTAAGAATGGCAGTGGCAAATCATCATGTTTAAGCTCAAAACTAATGAAATACAAAATGCAAAAAAAAAAAAATAAAAAGCATTATTTTTTTCTTAGGAGAAGTAAAAAATATTACTTAGAACAAAACTATTTACCCACCCTCTGGGGCAGCACCGTCTCTGATATGGGAGCGTGTCAGTGATCTTTAGGTCAAGATGGTGCTTGGGAAGTTTGCAAGAGTAAGAACTACGGACACTGATTAAGATGAGGCATGTTTTACTCTCTCTGGGGCAGCAGCCTGCTTTTGCCAAAAGTAGCCATGGGTTGGTATGGTGGGAGCTAGGGTACCTCTAAGCTGGATCTCACGAGCCTGGCCAAATTAGATTGGGTTCCCTTCCTCAGGGGTCACCTTCATAACATTACATTAAAGGACCAGCAATTTTAAGGCTCTCAGTGTAGCTCTCTAAGAAACGTTTGGAAGCAGGAAGGATGGATACCCAACCCCACTTTTATCCTCAATCCCCTTACTCAGCATCAAACCCAATTTATCCCAGCCGAGACTGCTCGGTTACTAAAGCTTCCTGTCTCTAGAAACTGCCCAACCTGGAATTAAATTTTTGTCCACAAATAACCAGCAGCCAAAGGAAATAAGCATTTTTTTATATTTTAAATTAAAATCTCCACCATTCAGAATAATTGTAATCTAAAATATTCCAGCGACAGAAACACTAAAGATAGTGATAAGTAGAAGACAGTTAGCTCTTGGAGGTAAAACCCCATTTGCCTGCTAAATGATCCAGTTTTATAAACTTGTAGTCCCAAGCTAGACTGTTTGGCTTAAGATAATTGAGTAAATAAGCAATTATCAGTGGGTTTAGTATCCCCTGGAGCATTATACTTGTAGAGAAAGAATCATTGGAAATAGCTAAAATATGTTCCTTTAGTAGAAGTTGGCAATATTAATTGTGAGATATGTGTTCACAGGCTTTTAAGTATATGCTAGACATAGATTGTATCATAGCCGGAGGACGCATCCAAGGAGACACTTGTTAATGGCATCGGGAGTGAATTTCTTGTATATTATATATGGGACATATACATGTCATTGAATTGAATGGAAAATAAGATCAATATACTATGTGGGTTTCTTTTGTTCCAAATTTTATGTTTTTGAAATTTTACCTATTTTCCTGCTCTGGAGAAAACCTCTCCAGGTAACGAAAGCCATTCCAAGCAATTTGTATTTTCCTTCTCAATGCTGTTAAGTCTACTGGTGTCAGCTTGCTAATCCTCCCCGACATTCACACGGACTCCGTTTGTGTCTTGTGTTTTTCTAGAATGGCAGAGATGCAGGGACTGATGGAGCGACTGGAGCGGGTGGTCGGCCGACTGGAGGTACTGTCTGCAGAGTCACACCGGCCTCCTGGGGACTTCGGGGAAATTAATGGTGTCATTGGAGGTAGGACACAAACTGTTGTCATTACTGGTCTCTATGAGGGTCTCTTAATGTTATCCTTCTCACTTAGTTCTCAAGAAACATTTTTAAAAATATTTTATTTGTTTATTTGACAGAATGAGAAAGAGAGAGAGAGAGAATAAGCAGAGTGAACTGCAGGCAGAGGGAGAGGGAGAAGCAGACTCTCTGCTGAGCAGGGAGCCTGATGCAGGTCTCGATCCCAGGACCCCGAGATCATGACGTGAACCCAAGGCAGATACTTAACTGACTGAGCCACCCAGGTGCCCTTCAAGAAATATTTTTATGACTTTCTGCAATTTTCATACTCTTTCGTTTATATGTGACCATGACATTAACCAGATGCAAGCCATTCCTGAAAAGGGGAAAAGAAAAATATTTCAATGCATAATCCACAAAAATTACCAGTTATCTGTGCCTATTTGTAATCAAATTTGCCTTTAAAATTATATGCTCATGCCACACTTGAAAAAAAATTTTTTTAGGGGCACCTGGGTGGCTCAGTGGTTGAGCGTCTGCCCTGGGCTCAGGTCATGATCCCGGGGTCCAAGGATCAAGTTCTGTGTCAGGCTCCTGGCAGGGAGTCTGCTTCTCCCTCTGCCTCTCTCTGTGTGTCTCTCGTGAATAAATAAATAAAAAATAAATAAATAGATATTTAAAAAAAAGATTTTAAAATATTATATGATCAGACATAAAAAGCTAACTATGTAACATAAGAAGTTAACACTAAGGATCCCATATTGGCAAACGCTTTAAGTTATCGACAGTAATTTTTCTAATTTCTTCTTGTCTGAGGTTGTAGATTTAACAAAATAAAAATACAGGACACCCAGTTACATTTGAATTTCAGATGGACTACTTTTTTTTTTTTTTTTGGCATAAGTGTGTTCCAAATACTGCATGGGATATACTGCATGGTACACACTTATTCTAAAAATTTATTCATTGTTTATTTGAAATTCAAATGTAACCGGGGGCTCTGCATTTCATCTGGCAACTCTATTCTTGTGTCAAGTACATTTCCTCTTTATCTGACCCATTTTGAATCCTATCAGGCTTTGGGGGCTGGGAAAAGCCTTGGGGAATGGGGGCTTCAAAAAAAAAAAGCTTTCACCAGGCAAGATCCACATTGGTGCTTCTAGAATTTCAGGCATATTTGGAGCTGTGCCTTGGGACAGAAATTACTGTGTGAGCACAAATGCACAGGCTGGTCTCCCCCCCCCCCCCCCCCGGAACATAATGAAAATTAAAATGCTTTGAATGAATTGAAAGGGGGTGTTGTTTAAAGGGAGGCTGCCAGGGGCCTGTAAGTTTCTTCCACATTAACTGAGACACATCTGTGATTTCATTTTAAGCCTCTTTTTGTTAACTATATAGTTGGTATATGAGATTCAGTAAACCTCATTTGTAAGGAAATATTTTCATGTTCGCTTCAGTAACTTGATTTCCTTATGTCTTTGACATCGGATGATCAAATTACAATTGCTGACCACAAAGAGAAAGTCTGTAAATACATAAAATAATGTTAAAATCCCAATTCTCAGAAGACTGTGTTGTTGAATGAAGTGGGGGGAATAATTTGAACCTCTTTAGGCTTCAGGAGGTACTGGACTACACTTCGTATTTTCTTTGTGAAAAAATAATTTTTGGGGAAAATGAATTAGCTAAACAAAATTGGAAGGCTATAATTAAATTACTTATGTATTTAAACAAGTATTTTCTAATATAGCAAATCATTCTAAACCAGTTATTAAAATAAGGTCTTGTAAAACAACTTAGCCAGCAATTTCTTATCCAGCTTGAAATGAAGTAGGATTATTGGTAAGCAGGATAATTAGCAAAATATCCAAATGATACCCATCCTTAAAACATTTTATTAATCTTAAATAGCATTACTTTCATTTCTTAATTTAATGAGCTTTGATGATCTTCTAAATTCTATTTTTAGTTTTTTAAAGATTTTTATTTATTTATTCATGAGAGACACAGAAAGAGAGGCAGAGACACAGGCAGAGGGAGGAGAAGCAGGCTCCCTTCAAGGAGCCCCATGTGGGACTCGATCCTGGGAATCCGGGATCACGCCCTGAGCCAAAAGCAGACACTCAACCGCTGAGCCACCCAGGTGTCCCTAAATTCTATTTTTAACAAGTCCTTGAGGGCAACCTCTTATTCTAAATATAAACATCATTATTACAGTGATGTTATAACTAAATTTTTTTTTTAAATTCTTACGTTTAAAGGAAACTTTAGATGGAACCATTACAAAATCTGTAATGTGCACAAATCAGAGAACTGCCTACTTATGATACTGGTGCTATGTTGGTTTTTTTTTATGTATTTTCTTTCTTTCTCCCCCTGATAATCAGGTAAGTTTGTCTCAACAGTTGAAGAAGTATTTTTGTATGCCTGCCAAGTAACAAGTACTACATTATATGCAAAGAAATCTAAGCTGAATTATACATATAGTCAGAATATTATTAGATACAGTCAGAATCCTCCAGAATCTTTGGTCTCCATGCATTACTATTCAGGGCCACAGATGCTTTGATTAAGGGATGCTCACAAGCTGCAGTTTGGGAAGAAAGGTCATTAAAGGCTGCCCAGAGAAGGTGTGAGCAGAGCTGAGTGATGAAAGAAAATTGGAAAATAGTCCCTTTTATCACCACTCCTTTTGCTATGTAGAGTGCTTTGTCGCATTTCTAAAACCTCCCACTTTAAACACATAGCAGAGACTTCTGAGGTGTCTCCCCCCTGCAACAGATGGGTTTATTTGCTTCCAAGTGGATCTATAAGGAATCTTTGGGCTTGCCCCCCTTTTACATTCCAGAAGTTGGTATGAACTGTATTTTGAATGTTACAGTAACTCAGCTTCAAAAGCCTGCTTAGAAGTTAGGCTGTAGGTGCACAGCACTGTCAACAACTGTTTGCATCACCCTCTGGGCCTGTGGAAATGGGCCTCTAGGAAAAAGACGGAAGCTTTATCCTACAGGTTTATGAGCATGGATACTTCAGTACAGTATGAGAAAGGGAATCCTAGGTTTTGGTTTGGATTTTTTTAAAAGATTTTATTTACTTATTTATTTGAGAGAGAGAGAGAGAGAGAGAAAGCATGAGTGGGGGAGGGGCAAAGGGAGAGGGACAAACAGACTCCCCACTGAGCAGGGAGCCCAATGTGGGGCTTGATCCCAGGACCCTGGGATCATAAGCTGAACTGAAGGCAGATGCTAAGCCAACTGAGCCACCCAGGTGCTCCTGGTTTGGATTTTAATTATCTCTAGGGTTGAGTTTCTCCATATTAGGGCCACAAAATCTGGGACTGAGACAGTTTATTTGTTTGTTTAAGGCAGGAAAAGAGAGGCAGAGCATGCCAGATTGGGCTGATGTCACTTGGGTTTTGACAGTAAGTTGCCAGATCAAAACTTAATGTGAGTTAGCTCAACAGTCCTTTTCATGCCTCCCAACTCCCCTTCCTTCCTCCGGGAACTGAGGATAGGGCAGAACAGAATGTGTGGTACCTGTGTTCTTTTCCTACTTGCCCAGAGTTTATTATTGCCTTTTAATTGTCCTAGGTAATCTTAGTAACTGTTTACAAGGTTGTATAGCACCTGGGCAGGTCAGTGTAGTAGAAAGTACACCAGCTTTGGATCAATAAGGCTTGTCAGTTCTTAAATCTGCCTCTTATTTGACCTATGGCTTTGGTCAAGTCATGTGCTCTGCATCTCTATTTCTTCATCAGTAAAACTGATGCTACTTACCTCATGAGTTTGGGGGAGAAATAAATTAATATGTAGGTGAAAGTGCTTACTCGGATGAAAAATAGCAAAGCATTGTTTTCTTGAGCCTTTGAGAAGTGTTTCATAAATACTGTCTGAGTGAATGAATGCCCTGGTAAAAAGAATGAGAACAGCGTGAATGATATTAAGCTTCCATAGTTCCTATGGCAAAGAAATACCAGCTTTTCATTAAACTCCAGGACACTGACAAACTGTGCTTCTTCCAAAGGTGTGGCACCCTCCGTGGAAGCCTTTGATAAGCTGATGAACAGCATGGTGGCAGAGTTTTTAAAGAAGAGTAGGATCCTTGCTGGCGATGTGGAGACTCACGTGAGTACTCTCCCCTCTTATTCTCCGTGGACATGACTACTACTAAAAAACCCAAAATGACAAGGGTAGGTGATGATATGGGGAGATTGGCACCCTTGTGCATTCTGGTGGGAATATAAAATGGTGCAGCTAGTATGGAATTCCAGCAATCCCACTTCTGAGCATATACCCAAAGAACTGAAAGCAGGATCTTGAAGAAGTATTTGTACACCCATGTTTACAGCAGTATTATTCACAATAGCCAAGAGGTAGAAGCAAATGTGTTGACTAGATGAATGAGTAAAAACAATGAGATGTATATGTACAAGGGAATATTATTCACCCTTAAAAAGGAAGGAAATCCTGATCCATGCTACCATGTCAGTATCCCCTGAGGATATTTTGCTGAGTGAAATAGGCCAGTCACCAAAGGACAAATACCATATGATTCCACTTACGTAGAGGTATCTATGATCTCATATATATGAGGTATCTGGAGTAGTCAAACTCATAGGTGCAGAAAATAGAATGGTGGCTCCTCGGAGTTGGAGGGAAGGAGGGGTGGGAACTTGTTTAATGGGTACAGAGTTTTAGTTTTGCAATGGAAACTGAACTCCAGAAAAGGTTCTTGAGATCTGTTGCACAATAATGTGAATATGCTTAATGCTACTGAGCTATGCATTTAAAAATGGTTACGATGTTAAATTGTGTTATGTGTGTTTTACCACAATGAAAAAGTGCAGCCTGAGGAAAAGCAAAGCCAATAATCTGATAATCTTTGGACTAGTAAAGACCTTTAATGAGAACTAGGCCAGCCTCCCAGTATTAGACATTTTTAATACATTTGCAAATGTTTAGCATCATCTTTGAGAGTAGTCATTATTTGTATACATTTAGTGAAAATCCAATGTAATAACAAAACCAATTAAAACCTAAAAGAAATTTATCATCAGGTTCTTATTTTTTATTTGCCTTTGTTTTTCACAGAGGATTAAATTCCAAATCCATCTGCTTATGGATTTCTCAGCAATGGCACAACCATTTTCAGTGTACATTCACAGAAAACCTGATTCTTTTTTTTTTAAAGATTTTATTTATTTATTCATAGAGACAGAGAGAGAGAGAGGCAGAGACACAGGCAGAGGGAGAAGCAGGCACCATACAGAGAGCCTGACATGGGACTCAATCCAGGGTCTCCAGGATCACGCCCTGAGCTGCAGGCGGCACTAAACCGCTGCGCCACCGGGGCTGCCCAGAAAACCTGATTCTTGAATAAAGCTGTGGTTTGCGGTAAAAAAAAAACCAACATAAAAAGGGACTCTCTACTTGACCCCCAGTTAGACATTACATGCAACACCCAACAGCAGTCTTCCAGGTGATTTGGTGACTCAGGTTATAGCAGAGTTTCCAGGAGTAATGGAATTAGTGTAATTAATAGTGCTCATCTCATCACATTTGCAATGCATTTGTTCACCACATCTAAGAAAAGCAAAGGTTCTCCTCATGACCTCCATTTTTATTAAATATACCTATTGAAATGCCCATTGGCAAAAGAAGGAAGCTCTGATATACACAAGTTCTAGAAAAGTCTGTGTTATAAGACATGTTCACTTCAAATGTGTTATGGATCTCAGTAATTACTCTGGCCTGCTCTTGAGCTTTCATGAGTTTGTTCACAAGAAACCTTGTACGCATTAAGATAGTGGCTGAGCTTCTTCTGTTCTGAGGCATGATGGTACCTGAACACTAACACATAAAATGGATTATTACTGCCAAAACACTAGAGAGATTCTTTTTTTTTTAAATTTATTTACGATAGTCACAGAGAGACAGAGAGAGAGAGAGAGGCAGAGACACAGGCAGATGGAGAAGCAGGCTCCATGCACCAGGAGCCCGACGTGGGATTCGATCCTGGGTCTCCAGGATCGCGCCCTGGGCCAAAGGCAGGCGCTAAACCGCTGCGCCACCCAGGGATCCCCACTAGAGAGATTCTTGAGTGATTGACAAACATTTACTGTCTTGAGTACTATAATAATAATTATTGGATCATTATTGTTACTATCTGTTTAAGATTTTAATTAATTAATTTGTTTATTTGAGAGAGAGAGAGAAAGAGAGCAGGAGCAGGAGGGACAGAGAGTGATGGAGAATCCCAAACAGGCTCTGCACTGAGCATGGAGCCTGATGTGGGGCTCGATCTCATGACCCTGAGATCATAACCTGAGCCAAAATCAAGAGTCGGCCACTTAACCAACTGCACCACGCATGGCCCCTCATTATTGTAACTATCAATTAACATTGACTTGGTGCTTCCAAGGTACAAAGTACATTATAACTCTCATCAGTAATAGCTCATGAAACTATGTATAGAAGCATTTTACTAGAGAATCAGGAGGCCTATAAATAGATATATTTAATTTTGCATTAAAAAAACAGGTAGAGTTTGCATACTAAGTAAGTCTCTTCAGATTCCATAGTAAACAGTTCCTTTCAATTCTTTTCAGAACAAAGTGAGTTATAAAGTGTAGCTTCATTTATATCAAGTTTTTTCTTCTCTCCACTCATCAGCCTGAAAACAGTATGACTCAGTTGAAGGACTTTTCTCATAATGGATGCATAATGCTTAAAGAAATTTATGTTTTTCACTAGTAAGTTTTTTAAAAATGAAAGAACGAAGATAAGGAGAAAAAGAAGGAAAGAGAGGAGGAGGAAGAGAAGAAAAAGAAGTGGAGGAGGAGAAGAGAGAGAAGAAGAGAAGAGAAGAGAAGAAGAGAAGAGAGAAAAATTTGTCATCCAAAAGTTTAGACTCTGATTCTATACCACAAAGGGAGTACAGGGCAGCTATTGTCCATCTGCCCATGACTTGCAAGTGGTTTATTTTTTTCTCTCTTATAGAACCATGTGTCATTGACATTAAGCTTGCAGCTGCTGCCTCTCACATAAGCCAGAAGTGGGGGTTGAACTTTGTTCCAAGAACACACCTGTTGCCTGGAAAAAAAAAAAAAACCCTCACATACCTGATTGTACAGTATGGAAATTTGAGAATGACACAAATGTGCATCATGTTAAATCCTAGCCCTGTGTTTAAAAGCTATTTCACAGATACTACTAATGAATAAGGTTAGCCAAGCAATGATTTAACGTCTGCTTCGATGTGTTGGCTGCTGGCTGGGCTTAATTTACTGATCACTCAATAGTCTATTGACAGAACAGACCACAAAAAAGGAGAACTAATAGCTACAATTAGGAAGCTCTGCTGAACCAAAGAGCATAACAGGTTTAGAAGAGATTAGATCTTGTAAAGCCTTCTTGGATGCAACATAAACCAAAGGGCTTATTGAAACTACTCTTCAACCCTGGAACAGTGATGCAGCTTGCATCCCCTTTTAAAAAGAATCGACAGTGCATAATTTTATAATAGAGGTTTAGATTAAATGTAGTCTTGAATGTCAAAGGCAAGGGTCCTCCAGAAGCTGGATGTACGTAATACTGAGCCCTTGGTCAGACATCATTTATCCTTAACTGGACTAATGTGATTGTTTCTTACAAAGCTGTCCTGTTGTTATTCATGGTCTATGGAACCAACCTCGGGCTAGTTTTAAATGATTTGACAATCACGAAACAGCCCCAAATCCTATAGTGCCTCTTAATGCAAACCCTTTTTGGAGACTTATGGAATTTACATTTTAAAAATGTCTCTAGAAGTCTGGAACATTTATTTTCTGTCCTTGATTAAAATGGATAAGAAAGAAACACTCTTTTATTCATCGTTTCATAAAAATGAGAGAACCATAATTTGAACAAAAAGGCAATAAAATGCAATTAAGAAGTGTAACACACTTAAGCATAGCATGATTAACTCACATTGCAGTGTTAGGACCTTGACTTCCCTGCCTTCACGAAGGGTGAACATTTTTAGGCAATTATGATAGCTACACTCGTGGGTCACAGTCACTACTCTAGATGTTTCTAGTCTTGGGTCATTTATTTAAATCATCTCCAAAATGTTTTTTGTTCATTTTATGCCATGCTGGCTGAGTAACGAGTTCAGAGTGGCTGACTAGGACTAGCAGTTTGTATTTGGATCTTAGAGCTGGCTCAACCTTTTACAGCATAACCTTGAGCTAGGCTCTTACCCTACTCAGTAATGAGGCTGGATGACCTCCCTCCCAAGGCCCCTCCCTTTCTCCCTGCCAGTTGGAATGATCACCTGTCGCGTTAGCATTAGAGCCTGAGGGAGGGGCTATTCGGTTTCCAAACAGAGCTTGCCATGGGGCATCATCCCCATGATAAACGCATCTTGAGCCATGCCAGGCAAAGTACTTCAATCATCTCAACATCCAAAACAAGCAGAAGGACACATGTCAGAAAAAGGATGCATAAGACACTAAAGATAAAATACCATCTTGCTTTACTATGATATAGAAGACAGCCAGACTCCTTCATTTAGAGAGACCTTGAGGCCTCTGTGAGTCTATCCTTCTTGCTCTCATGGGTTCTCACTTATTCCTTTCTATGAATCTTTTCTCTGTAATAATAAATTCTATCTCTGGAATAAATAACACAAATGTGTACATATTTATTTTACTAATTGTATCCTGATCTTCCTTCGGTTTTAGAAAACATTTTTGCGTAATTTGTACTCATTTTAAAAGTGACCATTTTAGAGGCACCTGGGTGGCTCAGTCAGTTAAGCACCTGCGTTTAGGTCAGGTCATGATCCTGGGGTCCTGGGATCAAGCCCTGCATCAGGCTCCCTCCTGAGTGAGGAGTCAGCTTCTCCCCTCTCCCTCTGCCCCTTCCCCTGTTTGTGCTCTCTCTCAAATAAATAAAATATTTTTTTAAAGTGGCCATTTTGGGTTACCTAGGTGACTTAATTGATTAAACAATTTGTGTCTTGACCTCAGCTCTGGTCTTGATTTGAGGGTCTGAGTTCAAGACTCGCATTGGGCTCCATGCTGGGTATAGAGCCTACTCAAAAAAAAAAAAAATTGCATCTTGGATGCTTTATAACCTGGGTT